GACGAGGAGAAGGAGGAGGAGAAGGAGGAGTAGGAAGAGTAGGAGTAGGAGGAGGAGGAAGAGGAGGAGGAGGAGGAGTAGGAGGAGGAGGAGGAGGGAGTTAGGGCAATTGATACAAGGGAAGAGTCAGAATTATTTGCAAGCCAAGAAGATCTCAGAGTAAGACCAGAAAATGCTTGATTGAGATCACAAGCACAAGGAAGGCAAGGAGACATGTTATCAAGGACAGCTCAAGTGACAATTTGTAGATAAATGGCTTCATCTGCTAATGGAAAGGTAGTGCAAATAAAATAATGGAAGGATTACATGAACATGTAATTTGGAAAGCAGAAAAAGAGCTTAAGAACTCACATTAATAACACAGATTGTTTATTTCAGTTTTTTTTAAGGATGAATTTTTCTGTGCAGTATCCATAGTTCTCTACATACTCTTAGCAAACACACTAAATAAATAAAATGACCTAAATAATGCATTGTGTACCAGGAGTTACTGTATGTTTATTTCTATTAGCAGTCTATATTCAGTTATGAGTTTCAAAAATACCCATAGGTAAACATCTGAACGCCTTAGGCACAGATGCAAAAAAAACAACATGGATTACTGTTTTCTTCCTCACTCTTATTATTTTATCTAATCCAGTACATAACTTCGAGTTTGAAGATATAGTAGAAGCTTCAAATTATTTTCTCAGTTGTTTACTGAAATATGTTTAGCTTGATGGAATCGCTCTTTCTAAGAGTTTACTTTTTTTTCCAAAACATTCTAAGAATCTATAGTAGTTAAAAAATTAGTCAACAGTTTGTTATAGATCTCAGGTATATATGAAAGGCTCTTTATGTGCATGGGACCACCATTATCATTATAATAATAATTATTATTTTACTATTATCATCCTAATGATGATTTATGGTACCAGGGATTAAACCAGGGCTTCATTGATATGATATGTGCTCTACCACTGAGTCACATACCCCACCTATACCATTATTTTAAATGATCATAAATATAAAAGAAAGTTAACTGCTACACTGAGCTATATCCACAAAGTTCCTGAAATTGGCTTCAGAGAGTAATAAAGTATGCAGAGGCAGTTCACACTTGAAATTTTATTCATAGCGAAGCCAGTGGTGATCAGTAAACGCCTGTAATCCTTTCTGAGTGCCTGTCCTGTCATTCCGAGTATAGGAAGTGACTGTCTTGAGGATAAAGTCAGAACAACTTAACATCACTGATAAATGAATGAGGCCACATTGCTGTTAGCCAGAGATTAATGATGAACAGTGACAAAAACATAAACAAATGTGCTATATACATGCTTTCTCTGGGTTCTAGTAATAGAGTGGTCAGCACAGGTGAGAAAGGGAACTGGTTGATATTTGAAAGGCTTCAACCCAAAGAGATAGTTCCATTTCTTTTGTTTTCCTGGAACAAAATTGCTGAGATTCGAAAACACTTGTTCTGAAAGTGAGATATTCTTTCTTATAGTATTTTATCTCACTGTTTTATCTGAGTTGGTACAAATTTGAGGAAAAATATTAGCAAGAAATAAAACAATTAGCCTCATCAAAAATGGGGTGAAGAGATGAGCTTAAACTTCTTCAGATGACCAATGTGTTTATCATCAGGGAAATGGAAATCATAACAAAGAGATACTGACTCAACTCCAGTGAGAATGTCATATATTAAAAACAAGCAACCAAAAAAAATTAATAGCTACCAACGTGTGTGTGTGTGTGTGTGTGTGTGTGTGTGTGTGTAATGAGTTGAGGAGGTGGGGGGAGAAACAGTCATCCGCTGCTGTGGTAATGTCTGCTATTTTAACCTTTAGAAAAACCGTATGGACAATTCTGAAAATTTTAATGTATAAATTCTGGGATTACCTCATTCACATAGCATGTTCTGAGTAACTTTCAGGGGAAGTGTGTGAACAAAAAGTTTTAATAGGCTTTTTAATTGTGCCCTTGCATCAGTGAGACAATTTTGAACTTGAAATATTTTTCTTTTTAATTTTTGAAGCAAGTTCATATGTTGTTCTACAACTCTCAGAGAATTTGAATATGATACAATGGAAGCACTACATTTAATAATTATAGTGTATACTGCCCCTTCATATTCATTATATGCTGGATACGAAGTGAAGGCACAAAGAAATGTTGAGAATTGTTTTGCCCAATGCAATAGTCACCAATCCCCTAAGGGTTTGGGAAATTGAAATAGGACTAATACAAATTGAAATGTGCTGTAGTGAAACCTTCATATAATTTCAAAGACTCAATACCAAAAAAATAATATAAACTGTGATTATATGTTGTAATATGTGTGTATTTACTGGTAAAATAAAACAATAAAACTTCATCATTTTAATTTGTTTGCTGAGAAAAAAATAAAATCATATTTGGTTCCTGTAATATTGTGTTGAGACAGATGATTAAAATAATTTAGAAAGCATGAATAAAATTGCAAGGCCTTGGAATTTAAAGAGTTTTTAGGAAAATTCATAATTGTGTACAATCTCCCATACTACTTTATAAATACAGAGAACTTATTCTTGAATAAGGAATGTATAAGAATGTATCCTTACTATTAAGAAACTGTGTCTTGGATTTATGATTTCATACAAAGGATTTTCTCTACTGTGGATTAAAACATAAAGTTTTTAGAACAGATGGATTCACAGAATGGGGTAAGAAGTTATTGTCTGAATTTCTCTTGCAGCTCTGTAGTCAAAATTCTAATAAGAATATTTCCCTGGGTACAAATGTGGTACATTTATCTTTGAGATGCTTGGATAGGTTGAAAATGTTCCTTATTTACCACAATGAATGAACTTGATTATTTCAGGCTTTGGAGTCGCAAAAACTTGTAGTTAATTCTGGTCTTTACTATGTAATCACTCTGAAAATGCACTTTCCTTCTTTAAACTAGGCATGATAATTGGGGCTACACAAAGCATTTAGGTAAGTTAGTAATAGAAAAGGTGTGAGGGTTTTTTACAAAAATGAATTTCTAAGAAAAAGTTTTATAAGCCATTGATCTAATTATGCCTGATTTTCTAAAAAAAGATGTAAAGGAGTATTTTGCAGAACATTATTAGCATAAAAATAGTGTCCTAATACATTTTTACAAATTTGGTTTATTTTTTATGTAATGTACTCGGTAATTCTATTTATATTGAAAGTATTATATTTATATTGAAAACATTATAAGTCTTGATATGCCCTTCTATTTTAGGAATACATACTAAAGTAATCAGCAAAAAAGATCCGATGTAAAGCAAAACTACACACGTGCATATGGAAGATGGATATATTTATTATGAATAAAAATACTTGTCCTCAATTATGTTACATTGATTTTTACCCTTAGAATTTTTGTGATGCTTGTGCAAAACTTTGGTTAAATGTATTTACTTAAAATTTTATCACTTAGAATACATAATTATATACTCTTTCATTTATTGTTTTACGGTGGTCGAAATAACCAAAATAGGTCAATCTCATTTTAGGCAAATATTTGTTTTCCATGTGCATAGGAATATTGCCCTCAACCACCCACTATATGTCTAGGTTGAATTAACTTAAAAAGACAATTTTAAATAGCACAGGATATAGTCATTCTACCAACAATATTTTATGTGCTCATAGATAAAATCAATCCCAGCTTTTTTGACTATGTTGTGATTGTTGACATTTTTATATTGTGAATTTCTTTTGTAAAGGAAAAATGTGTCTTCTGGCTTGTCTTACATACTTCATTGCACGTTTATGTTGTAATAGTTCTGGTTTCTCCATATATATTCTGGTTTTCATTTGTAACTTAAATATCTTGCTAGATTTACTACCTGTCCATTCCCTCTGTTATTTCCCAGAGTGTTTATCTACTAGAATTTCTTGATACAATAAAATAGTGTTTTTATTAAGTGCCAACAGGTTTTAATATCTTCATATCTACATAGAAAATGCCTGTTTACAAAGCTTAAAATTATCTTTTGCCATGTAGCACAATTAAAGATTTTATTTTGTTGTTGGGAATGCTTAATAAAAAACAATATAAAACACAAATTTTACTGCAAATTTTTATCCAATAGTTTGGTTGAATTTAATAACATATATAGAGCATGATTTGAAAAATAGTTCTGGTACTAAGACTGTGACTCAAAGCACTAAGTTCTTTTGGGACAACATAACCGGCTAACGTTCTAGGTGTACTTAGTTCCCTTGACCTTGAACTTTGCTGAACTGAGCAACACTTCTAGCCCAAGTGCCCAGAAAAGCATATGTAAGAGTGACCTAGCATTCAATTTCTAGAATTTTTACATGTGAACCTTATTTAAAATATATATTTCTATTTTATTAACACTCAAAATAATTTAAAGATTACTGTAGAAATTATTTTGGTTCTGTAAAAGATGAATAACATGAATATAGTTAATTTGAGATTAAAAAGCTATTTAAATTGACAAAGACTCAGTGGGTCATTGTGATTAATTAAATTTGGGGATAAACAAAATGAAATTATTTTTGTTGTTTTTTCCTACTGGATTCAACAGAATATTTCTTTGGTGACTGAGGCTAAGATTAAATAACCATATTAAAAATCAGTAATTATTTTATGCAATTGCATAGTTTGATAAAAAATAAAGCAAAGTGCAAAATGGAGAAAACATGCTAGCATTTCAATGTAGCTACAGGTTTGCTGTTCACCAATGGAACAATACATGGATGAGTACTTGCCAGCAAGCCATAAACCAGTGGGCCCTGCTTTCATCACAGAACCACTGATTATTTATCATATTTCTTTTATTTAATAGGCCACACATAATGTAGCACTGCACTGTAGCACTGTACTCCCGTTGTTCATCGATTTGCTCTAGCAGGCACCAGTCACACATAATACACACAGGAATTAAAATTTTCTTTATAAATCATGTAAATTAATTTTGTCTCATAATGCCATGGATTTCAGACCTTTATATACTGCTTTTCAATTTTTTAATTACCTTTGTCTTCTTTGGGATGCTTCAATTCTGTTTTTTCTGTGGGGAAAAAATGGAAACTTATAATCTGATATAGTTATTCACAGGTCCACTTAAGGTTTGGAAGAAAATTAGTTTGAGGGGATAGGCCCTTGTGGTACTGAGAGCTTATTCCTGCCTCTGTGCTCAGAGATCACTCCTGACTGTATTCAACAAATTATATGTGGTTCTGGGGATCTAACCAGGGTCTGCTGCATGTAAGGCAAAAGACCTAAACGCTTTACTATCTGCCTCTAGAAGTAAATTCTGATCATGAATAATGTGATTTATAATCTCTTGTAAGAGTAACATTATAGGAATCTGAAATTCTGGCATGTTCTTTAAAAGCAGAGTCTACATTTTCATGTATTATCTATTTTGCTTGTTTGAAAGCACACCTAACGGTGCTCAGGGATTAGTGCTGGTGGGTAGTTCAGGAGTTATGCCCTGCAGAGCTTGAGGGACTCACCAAGTATTGTCTAAGTTTCCAGTCTCAATCAAATCATATGTTCTATACCTTTGTGCTATCTTCTTGGTCCTATCTGTAGTTTATCCATCCTGTGATTTTAATCATAATTTTATGCACATGTTAAAATGTCATTGTTACCTTTGCTTTCTTCTTCAGATTTTTCTATTTTCTGCTTCCCTATGTGAAAAATGATAGGAAAAAAATCATTAGTTTAAAAATATCATGTTCTCTAACACAATTTTGGAGTATTTGTTACATATGTGACTTAACCCTGTAAATTGTAAACTCTAGTTTTACAATATGTGGAGGAATAGTCTCTCTGTAATGCATGAGAGCATAGATGTGTTTGCTATGCTTGAGTACTCTGATTGCATTCTGTTCCCTAGATGAGAGGAACAGTCCCTTTTTATTTTTTGCTTTATACCACAGATGCTTTGAAGTAATTGTTAGAGCATGCATACATTTATTGGTAAGCTTACACAGGAAATATACCCAATTTTTCTACTGTCGTTTTGTGCTGTAATAGTAAGTTATTGAATAACAGAAAAAAAATTAAATACATAATTTCTCCATGCAAATAGTCTTGGTGGAATAGTGATTTTCTTCAATATTCTCAGAGTGAGGAGAATGTTAGTGTGGGAATGCTATGTAATCTCTTCATTATTTATTTATTGCTTGGGGGTCACATTAGGTGGTGGTGCTCAGGGCTTTGTGGTCAAGAGTCATACTGGCAGTGCTTGGGGGACCACAATCAGTGCTCAGTCTGTGGGCACCAAGCAAAGGCCTTAATTCCTTAGATTAGTTAGACAGCTGTCTTGCCCTATTTTATGTAACAGTAATAAAAATCTCTTGAGAACTCATTATGGTGAAGAAGCTAGGGATCAGAATGGCTAAGGGATTTCTCAGATTTTACATGGATAGATAGATAATCAAATTCATATACTGTATCTACAGATCTATTTCCTATTCTGGAAAGGTAATAATTTACCTGATGCTGTGACTTCTGATGTTTCCTCTTTAGGAAAAACAATAAGTAAGAAAAAAATTAAAATGATAGACTAGTTCTGTGCTTAAGTATACATAATTAAAATAATTTTACAGATATTTGTATCAAATTCTAATAATTATGATAATAAACACATACGCTCAAAGTGGCAAAAAAGTGCACTGATAACTAAAATTCCTGAAGACTGAAAATAGAAAGCTAATTTGAAACCAAAACCATCTATAAACTAATTTAAAAAAACAAAAATTTATTCAAATATTTTTTATTCAGGTATGGTAAAATAAATAAATTCTGGCCTTAACATTTTTATCAAAAACTTAAACTACAGAGGTCTGTTACTTAAAGTTTCAACTTGTTTTACCTGCATGCTGTTCATACATATTTAATTAAATTATTTGAGTCACCTTCACTCAAAAGATCTTGTATCAAGTATAGTTTTATGTGATTGCAGAATAATGTTTAAAATATTTCAGAAATAAATTCAACTCATAGGAAATAAAATTGATAAGTAAGACAAGATGCAATATTTGTCTTTAGTTTGTGATAATTAAGAACCAGACTTTCTTTTTGCTTCTTCTGTAAACTTATGGACTAATAAAATTTCAAAATATGATGTGACAGATTGAATAAAAACTTTAACTCACAAATTATTAAGTAAATTAATAGTATTTTCTATAAACTCAATATTGCATATTTTGCAATCTTTTAGAATAAATGATAATTACATGTGATATAGTAATTGAGACGAAAAATAAATGTTTCATGAACAAAACATTAGCACTGTCTGTAGCACTGTCATCCCGTTGTTCATTGATTTGCTTGAGTGAGCACCAGTACAGTCTCCATTGTGAGACTTGTTACTATTTTTGGCATATCAAATACGCCACGGGGAGCTTGCCAGGCTCTGCTGTGCGGGCGGATACTCTTGGTAGCTTGCTGGGCTCTCTGAGATGGATGGAAGAATTGAACCCATGTCAGCTGTGTGCAAGGCAAATGCCCTACCTGCTGTGCTATTGCTCCAGCCACAATATATCAGCCACAAATAATTATGGTGAAATTTCTTATTAACATTACAGTTATAATTGAATTATTTTTAAGTCCATATTTAATTTTAATTCTTTTCATATTAGTAAACAATGATGCAAATAAAATATACTACAAATTTTATCTGACCCAGCAGCAATGTTTAACATAGACATTGACATACGTATTAAATCTATTCAGAAGCAAATTATAGCTGTATTTATAAAAATCTATCATAACATTCATAAGGAACAAATTAATTCTTAGCACTAAAAATTGTAGATAAAGCTTTTTTATATTTCTTATTTGAATAAACATTCTTTGGGTCACTTTTTTTTTTCATTTTGGGTCACACCTGGCAATGCACAGAGGTTACTCCTGGCTTTGCACTCAGGAGTTACTCCTGGCGGTGTTCAGTGGGACTATATGGGATGCTGGGAATCGAACCCGGGTCGGCCACGTGCAAGGCAAATGCCCTTCCCGCTGTTCTGTCACTCCAGACCCTAGGTCACATTTTAATCGTATAAGGTAACAATTTTATTTTATGAAATTGCATTAATTGTCAGAAATGTAATGAATTCCCATCACATTTTACATATTGTTTGAATTGTCAGATGTAATAAAACTGTGATTCTGAAATACTAGAGACAACTTTCTTATATACTTAAAAAATAAGAAAATAAAGGTAAATGTGTTAAAATTAAATAACTGAAGATAAGAACTGTGTTCTCTGAATTATTTTTTACTCAAAAAAACTGAAATGTAAGGACAAAAGTTTGTAAGTCTGTAACTGTATCTCACAGTGATTCATTAAAAAATAAAAAAATGCATTAGCTATAAAGAGAAGACAACAAAAATTTTAGGCCTTATATCACATATGCTGATTTATTTATTTACTTTTATTTATTTTGACTTTCTGTTTGTTTTTGGACCACATCAGGCTATACTTAGTGTTGACTCCTTTCTCTGTGCTCAGGGATCACTCCTGTTGAGCTGGGAGGACCATACGGGGTGCTGGTGACTAAACGTGGGTTGGCTTTGTGCAAGGCGTGCATCCTATCCTCTGTACTATCTCTCTAGCCCTATATATCCTGATTTAATGCAATGTATTTAATAGCACTAGAACAATAAATGTTCCAGGACTAATAACTATATTTACACATTATATATTTGGTCAATTATAATAATATTAATAAAATAGCCTAATTTATATTACTAGTGAACACAATATAATTTTTAAAGCATTAAAATGTAAATATATTCCAAAGAGAAATAGCAAAAATACTTAAATTTTGAAATGTTGCACTTACTTGAGGTTGGTTTAGATTTCTCTAGATAAAAAAAATGAGAGAAGAAAGAAAGGAATATACTTTATAAATATATAGCTATGCTATCAGTATTTAACATTTCTAATGTTCATTTGTCTAAGTCCAAGCAGAAGTAGACTAACAATTATCAAAATGACCTAATAGAGCATTTTGAATGGGTGTTAAGTCACATACCCAGAGTATACCTCATAGAAATTACAAATTTAAACCTTTAATTGGATGCAATGTGGATCTGCATAATTAAGTAAATTGTCTTTAGGAAGGATATCAAGAAATTCTAGGGTTCAAGTGACTGAGGCCCAGTGCTAGAAGGTTATCCAGAGCTATACCTGGTGGCACTCAATGACTAAACTCTGGGCCTTCCCATGTATCCCAGTCCTTTGAGATGCTTCCTAGTTGCCAGATAGTATGAAATTTTCACTATTTTTTAATACCATTAATTATTTATTTGCCTACTCTGAAAATAATCAACATTAATTAAAATTAGCTAAACTCTCAATCTTTATTTTGAAAGAAGTTAATTTTATAAAATCTTATAAAGGATAAATGAGTGGAGGAGGGAAATAAAAACTAAATTATCTGAATACATATTCTTTTATTAAACATGCCTTAACTTCTGAAATTGTTAATTAAAATTCAGTTTTATACATAAATATACAGTTGTCCATATATGTTAGGTATACTTGTTTATGATTGTAAAGTTTTAATTACCAAAGTTTAGGTCAATACTGTCAATACTCTTAACAGTATAAATATATATATATATACACACATATATATATAAAATCCAGTTTTTTAGAAAAAATAAGAATATTTATAAAGTCATGCATGAATATACTATTTCACTAGAATTTACTTTAAGAGATTTTTATGCTGAACATTAATTCATAAAACTATTCAAGTAAATATATTATTTAATATCATTTAAATTTTACCCAAAGTTTATACAAATTAAGAATAATCAAATAATAGTTAAATAAATTGTGTATAAATATACAATAGAAAACTACTAATGAAGAAATTATGTATTGACAAAAAGTTATTTGCTTATAGGAAAGGTTTAAGTAGAATTTATTTATAATATGTAAAGATTGATATATAAAAGAAAATATAAAAATACTATGTATATTTGTATATGGGGGTATGAATGCGTATTGCATATTCATTACATTTCTGGAGGGTTGCATTATGAACTAATCATGACTACTTATTGGGAGTTATTGGGCATTTTGGGAATGGTATCTGTTACAATTGGGAAAACGTAAGAAGAATTTATGATGTTTTCACTTAAACTCTTAATGCCATGAATTATATATTTTAAAATATGGATCACATTAAATAATTAAGTTAAACAGTTTAGAATAATAAAACTGCTTAAAAAACAGACCAACAACTAATCTTCAACAAAATCTTACATAAGTAATTGATAATACATTTTATAATACAGAAACAGTAAAATCAACTTGATATGATAATATAATAATATTGGCAACAGCGGCAACAGCAAAATACAGAGTAGTCTGAAACATCTTGAAATCACAAAGCAAATACTATGTTCTCAATAGTTCAATAATCCAACACCATGTGTTATAAATTCTCGATTGATCATAATATTTAGCAAAATGTTTATCCACGATGCTATGACACTTGTATTTGATAAACAACTTTATATCAAAACTACAAGATAGGCATTACTAATACACATAATGAAAACCAGCATATATATATATTTTTAATTTAATAAAAAGCATACATTATATGAAACAAAAATTAAAGAAAACAAAAACACCTTTTAAATGCGGGGATTCCTTTTTTTCTTGTTCAGGTTTTTCTAGAGAGAAAAATTAAAATAAACCATCAATCTGTTGGTAGTTTGTGTGCCAAACATTTTTTTATTTTCTTATTTATTTTTATTTTTTTCTTGTAGAAGCTCCATTTACATGGGGAATATGTTATGAAATCATTTGCATGTAAATTGGAACACAGAAAACATATTGCCATAGAAACATATTATATAAACAAGGTCCAGTTTATTTTAAGATATTCTATAAGACCCTGTGAAAGGAACTAACCCTCTTGGGGATCCATAATATAAGAGGAGAATGTATAACAAAGAGAATAAAGAGGATGTTTCTTTCTTGGCTGGAAGTTGAATAATTCCTTAGGGGTATTTTAAACAAATGGTATTTGTCATTGGCATTTTACAAGCTTCTTTAAACCTCTCTGACTCTTACTTCATTTCTTGTGAAGTAATGAAATAGATGGGAAGGAAGATATGAGACCAAAGTTATAAGACTACTGAGATTTTGTGATGTAGAGGATGACAACATTTTCATTGCTATTAATATTAAATATGCAAAACAAGCAATTTTACCTTAAGTTATAGTAAAAGCACCTCAAAGATATAATTAACTATGCTGGCATGAATAACATCAAATGTCTACACAAAATAAATGCAACATATTTCAGGATGTAAATAAGTTCTATTTAGGTAACATTTTGCAACTTATTTCCTGAATCACATATGTAGCCTCCAAACTGGTCTAACAAGTTTCGTCTTTGGACCTTGTCATATTTTCATAGAGAAGTCAGGGAATATTTGATCAGGGCCTTTCACATCTTAATGTGTTGTGTTTCACACATACACATTGGGGTAAAGATCCTGTATCATAAGTTTTATACCATTTTGGTGTCTTATTATTTGCATGGGCTGGAGCGATAGTACAGCAGGTAGGGCGTTTTCCTTGCACGGGACTGACCTGGCTGACCCAGATTAGATTCCTTTGCCCCTCTTGGAGAGCCTGGTAAACTACCAAGAATATCTCACCCACATGGCAAAGCCTGGCAAGCTCCCCGTGATGTATTTGATATGCCAAACACATTAACAACAAGTCTCACAATGGAGACATTACTCAGCTCTCTCCAGCAAATCCATGAACAATGGGAGGACAGTGCTGTTATCTGCATGACAATAGTTTAATGTGCTCAGCATATCCTGGGACCCCGCTTGGTGATTCGTGGTCTATGTTTAGTGCACACTTTAGATGGAGGATGTAGTTCGGCTCCATCCTTACAATGCATGGATACATCCTGATCATGGGCTGGAGATAGCACAGCGGTAGGGCGTTTGCCTTGCATGCAGCCAATATGGCCAACCCGAGTTCAATTCCTCCGCCCCTCTCGGAGAGCCCGGCAAGCTACCAAGTATCTCACCCACACGGCAGATCCTGGCAAGCTACCCTGGCAAGCTACCCGTGACGTATTCAATATGCCAAACACAGTAACAACAACTCTCACGATGGAGACGTTACTGGGCCTGCTCGAACAAATCCATGAACAACAGGAGGACCGTGACCGTGATCCTGATCATGCTGGCCTGGGAGCAACCTGGGCTGTACCCAGTAATGCTAGAGGGGACAGTTGTTGCCTATGATTGAACTAGAGTCAGCCACAGCCCAAGCTGTGTACTTGACCCCTGAACTATCTTTTCAGCCTCAAGGAGATGCTCAATGCTTCCATGATCTAAGTCATATTTTAATTGTTCTACAATCTATAATCTATCACTCTTGAATAATAAAACAAATACTTCAAAGTCCACAGAGAAATTCCCATAATTTTAATAGCTAAATAAAAATATGTTTATAATTTTAAGGGTTTCTAAATACCAAAGACTACTACCGTATAATTACTTCTGTGTAAAGCATATGAATTGAAAACAGGTTGTGATTCATGAAAATAATATTTTAGCATTTTACTGAGCTAAGTCATTTTTAGTGTTTTAAAATGGTTCATGTACCTTGATTTCATAAGGACACACTTTTTAAAACTAATGATAGTGAAGTAATATCAGACTTGTGTAGCTAGTATACTATAAATTAGTAGTAAAATAAGAGAATATTAAATTAAAACCATAATAATAACACTAACTTATCAGCTACAGGTATACTATTCTTAAACAATAATAAATATAAAGTAAATATAACAATTTTTAAACCAGAAAATTATTAAATTTCATATGATCAAGTAGAGCTTTTCATATTTCACACTTTTGTAACTCTGAAGAATGGAGGAAAATTAATGACAGGATAATGAGTACACACCAGAAAAAAACAACCGTAGCATTTAAAATTAATTCTTCCTAGTTTTTTTATTCTCTACTTAATTTAAACTTACTGCAGTCTTGCAAACACTATTATCTTACTGTTAGCAAATATATTAATCATGCTGCTTACTGAAAAACTAAAACATTCAAATAAATAAGATTTAAAACAATCAATATGGACTGTAAATATCTAGTCAACTTTATTCATGATCTTCAAATATTTGTAAACTAAATGAGATACTGAAAGAATCATATTAACACTATAGAGTTCAAATTAGAGTAACATTAGCTAAAATTTGAGCTTAGGCAATGGTTAGAATAAACTATGGTCATATAAGATAATGTGAAAAGACTATAGGATGTTTTCTTCTTTTTCAAGTAATAGTAGCCTATGGCTTCTATAAACTACTAATTCTTTTCTAAAGTTTTACATGTTTATATTTGAGAAGCTGAATTTTAACCAAAATTATTATCATCATCTCTGATAAAATCAGATATTTTTGAAATGATTTTTAGTAAGAAATGGGAATCTTACCTAAGTATGTAACATTTCTGATTTGGAATCAAATGGAGATGATTCAGAGTTTTATAGTTGGTTCAAATACTCAGTTTTGTTACAGATAGAATTCCAAAATTGTAAAAGAGTGCATACTTTATTTTTATCTTTTTCTCAAAAGAAAAAAATGAGTGATGGAGTTATTTTTTTATAGCGTGTTCCTATGACCATACTTTGAAGAATATTTAAAAGTTTTAGATTATCATAACTCTCTCCAGAGCTCTCATGTAAAGAAATAACTACATGTTTATGCATAAATATCAGATAGCTTTATGGTTGTGTGATTTATAAACCATGCTTCTCATAGCCTTAAGTGAAATTCCTCAAGAATTTGATTTTTTCTCCAGTCTAAAAATAAAATCTTGCCATTTTACTATTATTTATTTCCAAGAATTAAGATTTTCTGCAATCTGATCTTCCAAAAGTCTACACAATTTATAAGTATGTGAATGTGTACTAACATAAGGTGAAAGCAGTAATTTATTTTGATAAACCTTTTTTATTAACCTGTTTTCTCTTTTTATGTATTTTTTCTTATATCTCCTTCATAAGTGTTTCTTTTTTATAGAAAAATGATGTTAACAAAGTTACAAGTTTTAAAAGATCAGTTAAAGAGTGATATTTTGACCTTTGCATTGTCTTGGAAATAGATAAACTAACTTAATTCTGAGAAAAACTTACCAATTTTATAAATAAGTTGGACAGTTCTTCAAATTCACAGAAGCTTATGCAAACAATTAAAGGTCCACAAATTGATGAATGGATAAAGAAATTATGGTGCATATGTATAAAATGAAGTATTCGTATGTAAAAAAATCTTTTCTTTTTAAGCAATATGGATAAACCTTAAAGTATTATGATAAGTCTTACTTAGATGAAAATAAATCCTGTATGATCTCTCTTATAGTTGGATTAATGATAAGTAAACTCATAAATATAAAAAACAGATTTACAATAAAGGAAGAAGATCAGGTGAACAGAGACAAAAGATAAAAATTTTATCTAAATGCAAGAAATATCTTCAATTTAAATTGAACAGGAACACAAAGAAAATATATCCAGGTACATAAGGATTTTTTTTCAGATTTTATGAAAAAACTTCGTAAAGTATGCCTAATTTGAGTAATTTTCTAACCAGCCAACACTCACCCTGTTCTTTGTCCTCTCTGTAAGGTATTATTTTATAAAGCATGTACCAACCACAGGTTGCTTCTGAATTAGAATACAAGGAAACAATTTTCTCTCTTTTATTCACGAATCTCTCTGTAAGCTCAGAGTAAACCCAAGTTTTTATTATGCAAAGCTAGAGAAGGGTAATTATTATACATGGTTTGGAACTTTTTGTGTCCACTACGAGCATTGGATCAGAGTGAAAAAATGATTCCAATGATCCTATATAAAATCAAACTTTTTCAAGTATTCAGCAAAGATAATCAAATAGCCTAATAAAAAATCTCATTCATAAATAGAAATAAGAGTAGGAATGTTGCTGGGAGCAGATTTTAAAGAGTAGGAATAGAATTCCTGCTCAGGAATTCCTTCTGTGAGACATGGGAGGCTTCTGGGGTTTTTCCCCTTTCTATTATCTTAAATACATTATTTTTCTGACTTAAAAAAAGACAGATGAGGAATATTGTTACTACAATTATTATAAAACTGTTTTGTGTAACAACAAGCCTCAAAATGAAGACGTCACTGGGCCCGCTGGAGCAAACTGGGCAGACAACAGGATGAACAATAGGAGGACAGTGCTACAGTGTAGTTTTTGTTACATACTCAGGAACTAAACGTCCTCTCAGTATTTCTTCTCAAAATGACTGACATTTGGAACACAATGAAATAAGAGGGAGAATGGGCACTGTTGGAGGGATGGGTACTTGAACATTGTTTGATTGAAACGTAATCATGAAAATTTGTAAGTCTCACGATAATTCATTAAAATGAAAAATTAAAAATTTAAAACAAAAAATAAGAGTCTTTATTCATCAAATTAAAATATTTTGAGGCTGTTTCTCAGGTTTTGCTTATTTTGGTGATAGACAGCTGCTTTTGCCTCACAACAGAATTCAGCGCTGCTTTCATTTTTCCTGCTGTTTCTGTTAGAGGTGCCTCATAGAATTCAAGGCATAGGAAAACAAAATGAAGTTGATATAAATTCACTGTAAACAGATTTTTTAAAGCAAACTTTCAAATATTTAAGCATAGGTTTTCCTAAAATGTGTTTAAAGAATGTATATTTTAATCTTTTATAGGTGCTGATTTAACCATATTCACATCAGGTAGGATAATGTCCTGCATTCAGTCTTGTATGGCTTGAAGAGTATGGCTTAGAGAGGCTCAAAATTTAATTCATGTTTAAGTAGCTTAATTTTTTAAAATTATCTGTTTTTTTTTTTATTGTTTTATGGTCACACTGTGACCTGGAGAACTCACTCCAGGCTCTGTAATCAGAGGTCACTCCTGGCAAGGCTCAAAGGACCATATGTGGTACCAGGAATTGTGGTATCAATCACATGCCAGGCAAGCAAATGTCTTACTTCTTGCTTACTTCTTGTTTCCTCTCTCTCTCTCTCTCTCTCTCTCTCTCTCTCCCCTGTCTATCTTTTCTCTTTCTGTCTGTCTGTCTGTCTGTCTCTCTCTGTAGTTATTGAAATAGTTTTAGTAAATTCTGTGCTTCTCTCTGAACAGAACACATTGGCTTAGCTCTAATTTCTTCATGAGACCAGGAGTTAACAGAAAATGGGGGAAGGCAGAAATAGAAGAACAGGAAGCTAGAAGGAATGTTTATTTCTTTTATAATTATTTTTGATACATTTAAATCAGTCATTAAGTACATGCTTTCTAACAAAAATATGGAGATATTCTTGTGAATGTGAGTAGATAATTTTTATGTTCTCTCTTATGAGAAGCCATGACTTGCTCTTTAGTTGTATCTGACACGTCACATTTTTAGTGCAAAAATATTGTAAAGATGACAAAAATTGCATATGACATGGATAAATTGGATACAGACATGGATGGTCATAAGGACCTTTATATTTGAGTTTTAGGTCTTCATTAAAGTGCTGTACTACCAGAAAATGAAGCTTGCAGCTTTGACAGCCATTTTGTGGCCATGAAGAGACATCACCAGCAGAGTAGGGTGACAGGAGCAGGTGGCACTGTAGTAGGAGTCTGGTACTAATTCCAACAGGACTCAGCCACCCCTAGGACAACTTAATAGTTTTCTAAATAACATTTTCTTCTCTTTTATTATAACAATATAATGCATAACATGGTGTTAATCAACTATTCATATTATAGATGAGTCTAATGGTCAATGGGCTGCAGCGATAGCACAGCGGGTAGGGTGTTTGCCTTGCACGCGGCTGACCTGGGTTCGATTCCTCTGCCCCTCTTGGAGAGCCTGGCAAGCTACTGAGAGTATCCTGCCCACACGGCAGAGCCTGGCAAGCTACCCATGACATATTTGCTATGTCAAACACAGTAACAACAAGTTTCGCAATTTTTTTGTGAGACGTTACTGGTGCCTGCTCTAGCAAATCAATGGGAGGACAGTGCTAAGTGCAGGTCTTTATTATAAACAGAACAAGGAAAGACACTTGGATACTATAAATACCAAGTCCTCAATTTCTGCTTTCCCATGAGGAACTGTCTTTTCTTTATTCACTACTGCTCGGTTTGAAAACAATTAAAAATATTTTCAAGGATTAAGATGATTTATAAATTGGTATACGGTGAATTTACTCTACACATAGGCCAATAATTTCTAAAGTATAAATTGCAATAAACATAGCATCAAACTGTGTAAATTTTTGTCATCTTAATTTAAGTAAAAAATTTAAAGGTTTTGTTTGCATAAAAACGACATACTGAGAATTCTCATTTCTTGTTTAAGTGCCCAAAATTTTTAAAGCATAAAAACAGAAACACCAATCATCAATTTTAGGTCTCAGAGATAGTTCAAAGAACTGGTGGATATGACCTTGAAAATCATTAAATAGGTTTCAAAAACAAACAAATAAAATATATGTACTGTTTAAAATATTTATTTAATGTTTTTAGTATAAGATCCATAAAAATAATATACACACTGCAGTTTAGTTTTTCACCATACACTAAAAACTGTTTTGAAAAAAATGAGAATATTCAGTTAAATTACCTTAAAATGTATACTCTAACAATAAGAAAAGTTTTAAATGTCATGAGCCTAACACTAGATGTTTTGAATAGTGTTAGGGTACTGGATAACTATAAAAGAAAAGAGGAAATTGCAAATTTATTATTTGGTAACATTTTTCTGGGGCAAACTATTTAAAAAATAAATCATAAGAAATAAATGAGTAATTATTAATCTTGTTACATTAAAATATATTGTTAACAAGAATATATCCATGATTATTATTAAGATCAAGTGAGTAAGAAAATATTGTATATCCCTTTAAACTTGGATTCTTGAATTTGCTGATGTTGAAGAACTCTGCCATATAATTTTTTTTTATAATGAAGAAATACCTTATATAAAGCCTGAGGGTTTTTTTTAAAGTTGCCTCAGGTCAATAACTAGTTAGTAGCAGAACTAGGATTATGTACTAAATAGCAATACAAGCTTAGGTCACCCTAATTTTAGGTCAATGCTACCTTATAATAAAATACCTAAGTTCTGACATTCCCTTAGCAAGAATACTTAAGTTTAAGTAAATTGGACATGAACAATATACTAGTTCGAACATTTATTAACTTAAAAATATATAAAAATCTTGCTCTCTGAATTTAGTCTGTTTCCATAGTACTAAATATGAACAATAGTTGTCATTTATCTTATGAAGAAAAATTTTGAGAATCTACACTATTCTTATAATAGCATATATTGAATCATTTTTTTCTTTTGTTCTTTCATCTCAGTAGTCTATGATTTTGTGATTTTATGATTCTTCTATATTATCAAGGGAGAATATTCACAAATTAAAAGAGCTTATACTAGCTTTTAAAGATCTACTACAAAAGTCTTCTGAAACATGGAACCTCTGCTCCAAAGTCCATTTTAATTTATGATCTGTACCCATGGGGCATTCCCATTTTTCATCTCACCAATGTAAAATAATATTAAACAATGGAATGTGATAAACAAAGATCTTGGAGTCTCTAAATCTCATTTTGATGAGTGGATAAATCTCTTTGAGTTCAAAATGATGGTTGCATAAGCTCTCTCTACTTAAAAATAAAAGAGTTTTACCTGACTTTGCTTCTTTTTTAATCAGTGGCTCTGGAGGGTAAACAAAAGACAGAAAAATTTTAATTTGTTAAAGAAAAAAGAACAGGAACACAGACTCACATTTGGATATTGTTAATTCTGCTTACTAGAATTGGGAAGCAGAATTTTACTAAACATTATTGCAGTTTCATATAGATTTGTTGATCCTGGACTTCTAATTTTTATTTTATTTTATTTTGTTTTGGCACTACACTTGTGGTATTCAGGACTCACTTCAAGGTCTACATAAAAGAGTCATTCACAGGATTAAATGCAGTGCCAAATATCTAACTGGATTTAACTATTTACAAGTCATGTACCCTACCCACTGTACTATCTCTCTCCAGCACCAATGCTAAACTTCTGGTTTGTCAATATGTTTTCACTACTATTAATTAATTTCAATATAAATTTTCTGTTTGCTCAGATAATTGTCAAGAAAAATATTTCCATTGTCTATATGAAAGAAATTATATGATGTTAAAAATTGGAAGATTTTTTTGAAATATATCTTATTGGTTAGTTAGGCATCTTTAAAATTTAAGCAGTGTTATGAATTTACTTCCCACAAAACAAGTGGAAGTCCTAACCCTTGGTATAACATAATTTGACATTATTTGGCAATAAGATGTTTACAGATTTGATTAGCTAGGTGAGGTGGTATAATTCTGGAATAAGGTGGGTTTTTAATTGACTATGCCTGGTGTCCTTATTCAATGTCACCTTATAAAATGGTGTCCTGTATTGAATCAAAAAGTAATTTTTCAGGGCATAAGAGCTAGGGAATTTTCTATGATATATTTTTAATCTTTTGAGGATTCATAATCCTCCCTCACCCTCTGCCATTTTGTGTGCCAATGTCCAGAATATGCCTGTCATACTATTTTATTTTGAAAACATATACTTTTCTATTTCAGAGGCTAACAGACATGAATTTCTTTAAGGTAATACATTTTTTAAAAATTTTGAATTCCACCCATATTTAGAGAATAGTATTTGGAACTTTAAATTGATTACATTACATTTTAGACTGTAACTTAAAAACAGAGTGGATGAGATACTTAAGAATGTTAAAATCAGGTAAATGCATTTCGCCCATATGTGGAACATTAATTGGGGTTAGAAGATAGGCATGTATGGCTAAATGTATGCCTCCTGGAGAGATAAGCTAAAATCCTAAACACCAGTACTTCAAAAAATGGAAGATAATTGGAAATTAGGTTCTTGATGTGGTTATATGGGTGTAGAAGGAGTACTTAATTCAATATTAATGGGTCATAAAAAGAAGAGAAAATAATAGGGGAACAAAGATCAAGATAAAGATGTCCTTTTGTGTTGGAGGCTGAGATTGAAGTAATGCAAATAAATACAAGCCAGGGGAAAAAAATCAATCTTTTCCTACACATTTCAAAGGAAATAGGTCTTTGCTGATATTTCAGTTTGGGACTTATAGCATCCAGAACTGTAAGAGAATGTGTTTCTACTGTTTGAGACCCAGTGTATGATACTTTATTTAAGCAATCTTCTAACACTAATACAGTTGCAAAACATGAACCAAAATTTTAACTGTTGTGAGAATCAAATAGCTGTGTTAGTTTAAAATAGTTTCTGCTGCCTACAGCAGCCCTCAGAAAATGTTTGTCTGATTCTGAAGCCTAAAAAAGAGGAGTGAGAGCAGCTGCTTTTCTAATAGAACTTCTATATCCTGTAGCAATCAGGCAAAATAGTGGCTTTATTAGATTCAACTCTGTCAACTTTTGCTTCTGGACAATACTAATTTTTTGGCTGTTTTACTTATATAAGGATTAATTTTTCTAGGAATAGGAAGTATAGAAAATTCAACTTATTTTAATTTTTATTTCAAATGTTGGTAAAATGTGATTTTGAAATAATATTTGCACTTACACAAAACCTTCAAGTTTATATTTATCTATTAAATACAAATATGAATTGTACATATTAATAGATTATAAATAAAATATACATACCTGGCTTCTCTTCTTTTCTTACTGGTGATTCTAAAGTTAAAGATAAGTATCTCTGTGATTCTGAACAGAATTTTTTTTATGTTTCTTTTTTTTTTTTTGAGTCACGCCCAGCAATGCACAGGGGTTACTCCTGACTCACGCACTCAGGAATTACTCCTGGCGGTGCTCGGGGAACCCTATGGGATGCTGGGAATTGAACCTGGGTCAGTCGCGTGCAAGGCAAATGCTCTACCCGCTATGCTATCGCTCCAGACCCTGAACAGAAATTTTTTTTATGTTGTTACTTTTATATATTAGCTTTAGAGTAACCACCTTTAACTCTTCAAAATACAGGATAAAAAGTTAAGACTATTATTTTTATTTCCATTAATATTATCAATGTGTTTTCTGGTACTGCATAAACCATGCATATTTTATATATTGCGAATTGTTTGTAAGACGTCTGCTACATTAATTTTATTCTTAAGATAGTTACAGCAAATTAACACAAAAACAGAAAAGTTAAGAATCTTCATTATCAATCACAATAAAAATAATTTTGAAGAAAACAAAAGAGGCATGAACTAAGATTTTTAGTGAGTTAATGAAAGGTGATAATTTGTACCTTTTATTAAATATATAACGAGAAGAAATTTCAGGATAGCATATTCTCATAAACACCAGTATAATCACATATTGCTTAGACAAAATAAAGCCTTAGCTTCAGCAAAAATGTTAATGATGTGATCAAAATATGACTAAAATCATGTATTTAAGATATTTTAGCATGCATATAACATACGTGAAGGTTTAGCCTTGACTTCTTTGCCTACGAGAGATAAAAAATTGAGGTATAAGTCATTGTTAATTGAATATATACTATTATAAATTGCCATATATTTGAAAATTAAAAAAATCTGTATAACCTAGCATATTTGTACATAAAATTCTAGATGGTTTGTAATTTAATCATCATGCCAAGTTGTTATAAAATAAAATTATTTTCAATAATTAAATGGTTTAATTTTACTAAACAATTGACATATTTTCCCACACTCTGTGTAATGTCATCTTTCAAAAATGTAACATTAAGAGCAAAGTTTATTTAGATAATTCATTTATTTATTTGTTTGTTTGTTTTGGGGGTGAACCAGGAAATAATCAAGGCCTATCCCTGGCCCTGCAGTCATGCATTACTCTTGGCCAATTTAGGAGACCATGTGTAGTGCTGTGGATTAAACCCCAGAGAATCTTAATGTAAGGTAAGCACCCTACTTGCTGTACAATTACTCTAGCTTTAGAGTAACCACCTTTAACTCTTCAAAATACAGGATAAAAAAGTTAAGACTATTATTTTTATTTTCATTAACATTATCAATATGTTTTCTGGTGCTGCATAATGTATTTAAAAATAACAACTGGTTAATTTGGAGCTCCTGATGACTGGACATTTGTTATATGCCTTTACTGAATTTTGACTTCCTAAAGCCAGCAGTAGCACTGTCCTCCCATTGTTCATTGATTTTCTAGAGCAGGCACCAGTAACGTCTCCATTGTGAGACTTGTTACTGTTTTTGGCATATTGAATATGTCACAGGGAGCTTGCCAGGCTCTGCCATGTGGGCGGGTTACTCTCGGTAGCTTGCCGGGCTCTCCGAGAGGGACGGAGGAATCAAACCTGGGTTGGTCACTTGCAAGGCTGCAGCCCAAACTTTCTAAAACAATAATTTTACATATAAATACATATATGCACACACATATATATTTCCCTTTTTATATATGTCTTTAAAATCTTTTAATACTGCTGTGTTAACAGAAGTAGCTATAAGCAATGTGGAAATAAATGTGAATAGCATTTCAATAATTTTTTTATGGAAACTACTGGTGAGCCCATAGTTTATTGAGCTATTTCTTTGCCAACCACTACTTATTCATTTATGTTTTTATTTTATTTTTTAAGCAACAAAAATTTTGAAAGTCTGCAAATCTTTTGTTCTGTATTGCTTTATAATTGTGAACAACTTCTAATTGTGATATAACTTCTGTATTCACAATTCTATTTACCAGTAATTTCTAGACACTCATCTCTTCCTATTTGCCAGTCTCTGTACATATACAATTATACTGATTACATTTTATAAGCTCTTGGAAGGCTGAAATAAAATCAACTATAAAGAGAAATATATTGATATTGCCCTCTTTTATTCTCAAAGAGTTCAGTGATCTCTACTTAGAGCTAAGATAAAATGCCAACCATCTAATTGTTCCTCACATATACAGTTACAGAAAATATATTTAAGATATAAACAATGTTATAGAAGAAATTAGATAATAAATGATAGTTAAAATCAAGTGTTGGAAAAGAAATGAGCCATGCCAAATGACTCTCCTGGTTAATGATTTGACATAGTTGCAAAGTTTTGTTTAAGAAATGCAGCTGAGTTGATGAGATTCATCACAGAGTTCAGAAAGCACAAGAATAATGGAGTTTGCAGTAAGAGAAGAGATATAAAGAAATTCCTGAAGGTAGTTAGGGTGTCAGGGTCACATTCCTCAAGTAGAGATCCCTGAGTTCAATCTCGAACACCATGTAACCCCTGAGTACTACTGAGATATGTAGCCCTCAAGAAAACCTCAAGAATCACCAAGCCCAATATTTCTCAGAGATCCTAGCAATGAACTATGTGGCCCTGTCAGCCAAGTATTTCTATTAATGGGTTCAGGGTTCCATAAGTACTACTTGAGAGCTGCCTTCCAAAATTCCAACAGAGAAAGTTCTGGAGATTGTTGGAATATATCCTAAAATCTTCACATTACCATATGCATAGAAGGAACCTACATGAGGTAAAGAATGCAAATGAAGAAAAGGATATTACTATAACTTTTTATAATATGTTGAAATTGCATGGGGTCATTTCTCCTCTTTTATTAGTATGATATTGGTCATATTATTTGTTTTTATATAAATTTTAGAATTTGTCAATATTCACAAAATAATTGCTGAGATACTGAATGAAAATTCAACTTATAAAGTATGTTGGGAGGAATTGACATATTAACAATATTTAATATTTTTTTAAAAATTTGGGCCACACTGGTAATATTCAGTGCTTCCTCCTTGCTCTGTGCTCAGGGATCATTCCTGTTGGTACTTGGTGAACCATACAGGGTAAAGGATATTGAATCCTATTACTCAAATGCAAGGTAAGTGCCCTACCCACTGTATAATCTCTGCAATCTCAAATATTATTTTCACCAACTTGAAATATTTATCCATTTATTAGAATTTCTTTGAATTTTATTTGGTAGATCTTTGTTTCTTTCACTTCTTTTTAGGACTCAGCATAGCTCTCTCTCTTGCTTAGAAAGCCTTATTTGATTCAAACAATTTTATACAATTGCTTCTATTTCATGTGCCAATAATAATTTTAGATCTTTATTCCAGTACTACAATGTTACAATGTTTTAATTACTTCCACTTTGTAGTACAGTTTGAAGTTGGGGAAATTCATGAGTCCCATCTTTTCCCTGAAGATTGTTTTGGCTATTGTGTGTGTGTGTGTGTGTGTGTGTGTGTGTGTGTTGTGGGGGGGAGGGTGGTATGGGAAGGGTGGATGTTGGAGGTGGCCATCAATTGCTCCATATGATTTTCAGGTGTATTTGAATTATTTATTTGAAAAATGTCAATGTGTCCTTATAGCTACTGCATTGAATCTGTATAATGCTTTGGGAGATATTTTTATTTTGATAATATTAATCCTCCCAATCCATGAGAAGAGGATGAGCTTCTATGTTTTTGCGTCCACTAGCTCAAAGCAATTTTTTTCATAAAGTAATTAATAGCCAAAAATTAAGCACTAGTGCAGTAATTTCATTTTAATCTTTTTGATTAAAAATATTTCCTTTAGCAGCTTTGATTTCTATATAACAAACTGTTATAAATATATTAATAAATTTTAATATAAAACAGTTAATACAAAAGTGTTAAAATTAGATGTATATATGGTGCATATTTTAGACGTTAGAGCATCTTTATAATATAATATATGTATATACACAAATCTAACTAAAAACCAGTCTGAAGCTTATACTTTATGTGGTTTTTAAACTTCTCAAAGTTAGGGAAAGTAAAATTCATAATTAAATTTATGAACTTTCATAAGTTTATTAAAAAATTATAATTTAGTTAACTGTATTATAGAAACTCCCTCATTGCTGGTTCTAATGAGTAAATTAGTTCTTTCCATAAAGATGTCAAAAGTACAAATTCTTGGGTAGAGAGATAGTACAGGGGTAAGGTGCTTCCCTTTCATAAGAACAAACCCTATTAGATCCCTGGAATATCATATAGTCCCACAGCCCCACCAGGAATGATCCCTGAGCGCAGAGGAAGGAATAAGCCCTGAGGACCACTAGGTGTGACCAACCACAAAACAAAATCACAGAAAACAAACAATAAGACAAATTTCGAGACTCCAGTTTTACGCAACATGATATTTTGTGGTTGCTGGGAATTGAACCCAAGTCGGCCGCGTGCAAGGAAGATGCCCTACCCACTCTGTTACCTGCTGGAGCCATAACACAGTAGTAGGGTGTTTGCCTTATGCATAGCCAGCTGGCCGAGTCAGGTTCGATTTCTCTGCCCCTGTTGGGGATCCCAGCAAGCTACCAAGAGTATCTTGCCCGCACAGCAAAGACTGGCAAGCTACCCATGATGTATTAGATATGCCAAACACAGTAACTACAAGTCTCAAAATGGAAATGTTACTGGGCCCACTCGAGCAAATCTATGAACAATAGGAGGACAGTGTTTGTTTGTTTGTTTTGATATTTTGTGGGTATATGCCTTGGTCTTATCTTTAATAGCATTCTCAGATGTCTGATTTTATATCGCGGGATACCATTTTAACATAGTTTTCTGGTAAAATTTTAAGTCAGGATGCCTCATGCCTCCAGCTTTCATTTTTTTATTTTCAGAACTGTTGTAGCCAATTCAGGGAATTTTGGGGTTCCACACAAATTTTGAGATTATTTGTTTAGCCTTGTGAGAAATGCCATTAGAATTTTTATGGAGATTGCATTAATTCTCCTAATGTTTATAAGTGATGTTTTTAAGTTGTATAAACTAACAGTTATCAACATTTTTTTTACTGTGACCCCCTTTCGATGTTGGTCCTTTCTATGGCTACATTTGCCTCACTGATTGTACCCTGGTTTGTGCAGCAGATTCCGTTTACATGATTTTTACATGTGAAGGGAGTGTTCTGGAATCCCACAGAAATCATATAACATGTGGTTGAGAAACACTGGTGTAGAAATAAATTATTTTTCTTTTTGGGTCACACCTGGCTATGCACAGGGTATCCTCCTGGCTCTGAACTCAGATATTACCCCTGGCAGTCCTTGGAGGATCATATGAGATGCCGGGTTGGCCCCATGCAACGCAAACATTCTTCCTGCTGAGCTATTGCTCCAGCCCCTGGTGTAGAATTTTTAACAATATTAATTTTGGAATAAATATAAGTTAATTATTTTGTTTATGTAGTCTTTTATATGCTATATCAGCATCACATTTTCAGTTTTCACTTTCATCTCCTTGTCCTGGAAAGATCCTTTTTTTGTTTGTTTGCTTTCATCAGAATCACGAGGTGTTTTGAGGTATTTGGGGGAGCAAATTGGTACTGAAATTGATGCTTCTGTAAGGAAAGTACTACTAGAAATCCCCATATTGCTATGTTACTGAAGTCAGTCCTAAACATTCAGTTATTTGACATTCTGATTTTCATGATCTTGCAATTTTAGGTACAGTAGGAGGTGTATTAGTTTAAA